CTTCTGACCGTGAGAAAAGGTAATTATTGACTTTTTCAACTTTCCCCCCACCCCCCAAGGCTGTCGAAACGAGATAAGGCAGCCTAATTAAAACGTGGTCTGGCTCTTAGCAAGTTTTTATTTCCGCTTAAGGGGAGACGTGGGGTATTTGGGAACATCTTTGATAGTTTTTACGAAGGTATTTTTGCAAAAAAAAAACTATTTTAATAATTAAAAATTCGCCTAAAATACAGAACATGGAATCTTTGCTCTCTGCATACTCTGTGGCTTTAAATATACAGGATTTTTTTTTAGAAATCTATTGTTGCTCTTATAAAATCAGTATTAGACATGCTAAATATTGAAAAAAAATGTGAATCTCTTTTTAATTGCCATAGTACACATTGTTTCTTTCATCATCAGTTACATTGTAGAGATGTAGTTACATGAGATTTTTTTAATTAAATAGTTGATCCTGTTACGACCATGGGCATTGGGCATAACTAATTTTAATCTAATAAAATCAGTAATTTGTGTTTCATATAAATCACTTTTAATAATGATGACTATTTATATTTTATTATAGTGTTATAACGTTAACATGATATTAAACTAATAGAATTCATGCAGCAGTAAATTCCACGAACATCCTGAATTCAATTTAGGACGAATGTATCAAATAAATTGATATCAAATGTTGTATTTTAGCCTCTAAAAAGCAATTTAGTAAGTAATTATTCAGTGACAAATTGTTGTAAATTGAAACTCAAATATTGCCTGACGCTTCTCCTGAAAACCCAATAAAACTAAATTTAAGATTTTTGAACAGTTAGATACTTTACTTTGGAGCTAATATTTTTCACAAAACTGGTTTTCATATGCCCTTAACAAGCATATCAAAGTGATCAGTTCAAACAAAGATATATTCGTTTTTTATTGTCTTCCTCTGCTGACATTTATTGACGACAGCATCCATAAATGAGTAAAGGGGGAGAAAATAAACGTCACATTTAAAACCTACCCGCACAGAACTAATAAACAGAGCACAGCCTCTGCAATCAAGCTATACAATACGGGACCTCGGTCCACAGGCGGTGTGCAAACAACCGGAGGGTAAGTCCGGTTTGTTCGTTTCCTAGTATTTTTGTCGCTTTACCGTGATTTTGGTGTGACGTTGATGAGTTGTATCTATTTGCTAATTTTTGACACTAAATACTGTTATTTTGCTCTATTTTTCTATGGTATGATAAAGGTGTCACCCGTATTACTGACGACAAGCACATCAAACAACAAACTAACATATTAATTGGTTGCTATAATGTTAATCTGATGTACATACTTACTGATTACACAAATTGAACATTATTCTAGTACGTCATTGTCTATGTCTTTACATAGACAATGCTAATACTGCACCATAATAATTTCTAGCCAAATTCAATTTTCGAGTCCAAAGCGCCACTTCAAGCAACTAACGTGATGTGACACGAGTGTCGTTGTGTCCGGAGGATTCGCAGAAAATTCGCTCCTAAATACTGAGGCTGACAAGCGAGAGTGCACCTTCATGTAATGGTGTAAAGTTGAAATTGAAATGACGCGGAATTTAATTAAGTTAGGATATAGCTACAATAATAACGGGTAGTTCTAGTTTTCATTAATTGAAAATGTTATGAGTAAGAAAGAGAGGATAAATACCTATACTGTTTTATGCAAAATAATATTAGATTAAAAATAGATTTGTACCTAGTATTTCAGAATGTATAATGAAAGCATTATAAAATAAAAATTCAAACCTGTAAAAATGTAGGTCGTATGGTAATGATTTTCGTAACATTTTAATATTATATGACTAAAAGGCGGGGAATTGATTAAACAGAATTCAAACGACACAAAAAGGTGTCACCCGTATTAATATTAAAATCCGAAAACCGCGCTTACATGGTTCTGCGTACCGGCCTCACAAACACAACGCGATATATTGACAACTCCCACTGAAAGGCCGGAATGAGTGCTTTGATTCCAAATGAGAGTGGCGAAAAACGTAGCAAAAATTCAAAAGGGCTTTTTGTGTTTTTTTTGTACTTACACTGTTTTCGCGCTCGGCCGCGTTTTATGAGATTAATATGCAGGCCTGTGTATGTAATGGGGCGTTTTAGTTTTATTACTATTACTTTTAGGGTGAGGCCTGTGTTGTGTTTAAGAGATTGTTGAAATAAATAATCTTTTTTTTTTTATTAAAAAACCTTTTGCACAATAGTTAACTCTATTTCTAGAAGACATTAGGTTCAAGTTCACGCACTTCTGTTCAGCTAACTACTATAGTTTTAATAACAAAAATACATTGTTATAATAACAACATTCACTAAGGCTGAGTTACACCATCTTACTTTAACATTAACAAATGTCAAAAATCTGTCAAATTCCTTACAAAAACACAGGCAATAACTATAAAGATCTTAAATCAACGAGAAATAAAATAAAATGTAATCCAACCAAATTGATTTCGAATAAAGAAAAACACCCTCAAATTAAAACCCCATGAAATGTAATCGCCAGGGAAAGTTTATAATTGACTTCACAAAATGTCAGCAGTTCAGGAAAATTCATGGGAATATAATGTTTGCCTCAAATACGGCATTTTTCGAGCTTTAGAATTCAGTTATAGAATTAAATATCATAAATTCAATATTAGCCTAAAAACGTCAGATTATTCGAATAATTAATGCCCTGGAAAAATTTAGAGGTAAATTGTTTCAAATGGTGGTAATGAAGAGGTACTTAGTAACCTCACAGTATAATTTTGTCCCAACAATTGAAATTCAGTAAGATAAAAACAAATTATTTTTCTTCTTTAAATTATGTAGATAGTAGATAGGTCCTCCCAAATCTCTAAATTGAGTCTCATATAATTATTTTTTAAAATCATTAGTAGTGGGAACAACATTTTAGTTAATTATTTATTTATGTAGGAGAGTATTCCACCAGCTCACACGAAGAGTTTCGATAACTCTTTTATAATGCGGACAGTATTCGCTGCCTGCTGTTTTCTTTCCCGAACATTATATATAATCCAGGCCTTTTCAAGGCGAGAGTGAATAGGCATTTACAGGGCAGATATGCACCATACTAGACTGCATCTCACTTAACACCAGGTGCAATTGTGGTCAAATACCTGCCTTGTTATGCATGGACACCAAACCCACTCAGTCTCCCTCCATTACAATTCAATGCTATTGGTTGGTTTCCGCGGACCAATCTGAATAAGTGAAGTTTTTTGTTACTTCCCGGGGAGTTTTCACTGAGAGCTTTTGCAACACTATTTCCAATGACTTCTAGGGTGAATTTGTTGGTAAATTGTTAGTGCCTACTTTAAGCAGGCCTGGCTCACTCCGCGCGGTACATCCGATAATTACCTACAGCGAAGCGCCCCGCCGGCGGGTATTATATCAGTCGAGTGTCACGCGCGCGCCCGTCAGGACGCTGGCGTGCGTTGTAGTACCTAATTCTATGATCGAAGTATTATTTAAAAATGGACATAAAGAGAAAGAAATATTATTGTGCGGTGTTCGGGTGTTTAAATTCGAAAAGAAATCTACCGGATTTATCTTTTTTTTCACTTCCCAAAGATGCTGAAAGGTATGTTGGCCATGTAGGTAATCAATAATTCTTAGGATAGTATAGGAACCTAACCTACCATGACTACTGCTCAGAATGCGTTCGTTCGTTTCAGCCAAAAATGACGCCCACTGCTGGACAAAGGCCTCTCCCAAGGTTTTCCATAATGAATGCGTACTTACCTACATACGTACCTCATTACAAATAAGTAGATTAAATATTTTTTTACTAGACACTAGGTACTAGACAGCAACCCTAACAGCGTAAGAAGAGTTCAGAGGCACGCGATAGAAAGAGACAAAACTTGTAGGTGAATAAAATTGTAGGTACGTAGTGCTGTGCGAGCTGAATTCCACTGTATCGCGTCGTAGCAAGACTCGCATTTATTTAAATCGTCTTGCGGAGTAATCCTTCTGTACCTGTACTATTACTTATTCTGTGCTTTAAGTAAAAAAATCTTTAAGTATCACCAAACGAGGTAACACTTGAATTCAAAATTTCAGAGATGGTAAATGCGATTGGTCTTGATTTTGTGGTTCTGATATCATATTAGGTCTTAAGTATGAATCTAGCCTCAAGATTACGTTCAAGCTTCTGTAGTCTCTAACAGGATCGAATTTAACTACTTTTAATTGAGCATTGAGTGTCATTTTAAAGGATCCTGCATTGATTTTAAAATATTTCGCAATGGTAGGTGTGAAGATATTTTTATCAGATGAGAAACAAAACCTATACTAGCTTATTGTAAGCCAATTTGTTTCTAATTTCTAAGACTAGAATACGCCCCAAATTCAATATTATAAAAGGAAATAATGTAAAAACAAAACAAAACAAAACTCCGACAATATTTCACAAACGAACAATAATAGAAAGTCTCATTATTGACCTTCTTCCTTTGCTACTTTTTACCAGACCAATCTCTAATCTCCAATATCTTACAAATATTAAAAATGCGAAAGTTTGGATGTCTGGATGTCATGATGTCTGGATGTTTGTTACTCTTTCACGCAAAAACTTCTGAACGGATTTTGTTGAAACTTTACAGTGTTATTGTTTATAACCCAGATTAACATATAGGCTATACTTTATGACGATATTATGTGACAAATAAATTTGAATAAATAAATAAAAGGTGTCTAAAAAGCGCCATCTATCGTCATTGGTTAAAATCTACAGCGCTGGACAAACTACTGTTTTTGACGTTCGTAAATTTCATGCGGGGGAAGCCGTGAAAATCTATCAACATGGTATCAATATATATCTAACGGTGCTAAAACGAGGCCCACGCGTACGAAGTCGCGGGCGGCCTCTAGTCTTTACATAAATAGAAAAATCTCATTATTGACCATCTTCCTTTGCTGCTTTTTACCAGACCAATCTCTAATCTCCAATATCTTTGTCCACAGCACCGCCCAACGCCGTCGAGATCTCCAACCACCCCCACAACTCCAAGCTGGAGGTCAAAGAGGGGGAGGATGTGGCCCTGGAGTGCCTGGTGAAGAACGCCAAGCCGGCTGCCAAGATCATATGGTACAGAGGCAACGTGGAGCTGAAGGGTGATAAAGGTAAGGATTTTATTATTATCCTTTTAGCCTATGAAGGATTTGCCACCTCTGCGGTCTGCGGTCAGGTCAAAATGAACGCAGTCTGCATCATCATCATCATTTCAGCCACAGGACGTCCACTGCTGAACATAAGCCTCCCCCAATGATTTCAACAATTGCCGGTTGGTGGTGGCCTGCATCCAGCGCCTTCCTGCTTATGAGGTTGTCGGTCCACCTTGTGGGTGGACGTCCTACGCTGCGCTTTCCGGTACGAGGCCTCCACTCGAATCCAGAACCTTGATGCCCCATTGGCCGTCAGCTCTGCTTACTATGTGCCCTGCCTATTGCCACTTCAGCTAGCTAATCCGTTGGGCTATGTCAGTCGCATCATGTATGGCCAAAATTGACCGTAAGGGTGATGGCTCGGCGGTCCGGGCAAGACAATCTGCCTCGTGACAAGTCAATAAACCGTATGCTGCGGTCTGCGATCACTTTAGCCTGACTGTAGACCGCAGAACGCATCCATTGTGGCAAATCCTTGAGAGTTCATAGCTATAAGTCTAGGATGAACGATACGATAAACTTTCACAAGGCATTTTATCGATTTTGCTTGATAAGCCCATACATTTGTCTAAATTTTTCAATACGGTTTTGGAGCGCATCCTAACCTGTGAAATTCCATCCAAGTAAACGTTAGCTTTTTTGTTTTCAAAATATTTAAAATATAATTCATAAAATACGTAATATTATGATGAAAGAAAATATTTTTGAAGCATTTACTATTATAGCTGGAAGTCAATTTTAGATCATAACCACTGAATCAAAATATGAAAGGGAGCCGAATTTTACCATTGCAGTTTTTGTTCATTCTAATCGCAAAAAAACCTAAAACAACCGCATAAATCTTGCACACCTATAAAACGTTTCCGAAACAAACAAAAATAGTGCTGCAATCGCTATCGATACCGTTATCGACTTTTAACGATAACTGCGGGCAATGAATCGTACATCGAAGATTAATCCTCGATTCATCCTGGCTTAATAACTATTTCTAGGAATTCAGTTTCCGTGTCACTGGGTAATGTAATGAAAAATTCAATTTTAATACCCAACTTTTTAATTTGCACGGATATTGGGAGTTTGGAGAATTCGCGGGTACTTTACTGTTGGATGAGCAGTGTTTTTGAAAGGTTTTAAAACGATGAAGTTGTAGGATGATTTTTTGGGAGTGAGGATTATGGAATTGGAAATTTTTGGTAGTGATTTTGATTTGGATTCGTACGAGAATAAAAAATACACTTTAAAACATATCATAATAATAATATGAAGTAACTGAGAAAGTAAAAATAACGCATCTAAGGGCTGATTTTTCAATCGTCTGATAGGTAACTTTACTGAAGAATAAGTTTGGTACATTGACCGTTTTAGTATGGGAAATATGTCAAAATGACAAGGTTCATGTACGTTATGATATTATTATGATTATTCAATCAAAAGATATCTGACGATTGAAAATTCATCCTTAAGCATGATAGAAAATACTTGTGTATATTTTAGTGAAGTAGATAACTGATAGCAGAACTAGCACATAATGAAATTAGTAGAATCAGTTTTAGTCAGAATTTCGAAAACCCATTATATTTACACACATTATTATTTCTGTATCTGGTAAAGGTCGCGGGAAGTACCTGGATGCAAGCGGCGCAGGACCGGTCTTTGTGGAAATCCTTGGGGGAGGCCTTTGTCCAGCAGTGGACGTCTTTCGGCTGAAACGAACGAACGAACGAACATTATTATTTCGCAGAAACCGATAATGCGTCGTTGTTCCATAGAGAATAAACAATCATTGTGAAGCCATATTATTTGTGATTGACAGTAATTTTCAAATTACATTCCATGCTGTCCAGGTCGGGAAGCTTTAATATTAGCATGATTAAATAAATAAATGATAAAAAAGTTATTTAATCAGGCATAGCCCATAAAAGTGTTAGTAACAAAGCTGCGAAGGTCTTAGAAACTATGTTAGTAAATCACACAATTATTACACATAATTAAAGAACGACAATTTGGTGTCTTTAGTAAGATGGACTGGATGGATTTAAAATGTTTAAATTTAAAATCATTTATTTCTCATCAAAAACCTTAGTCACTTTACATGACAAATTATCAAATTTTATGTAAGTAGGTTTTGTCACAAATTGTCCTAAAGCCAAAACAAGCAAATGTACTTCCGCGAAAATCGTCCTATCTAACACTTATGCCCGTTTTCACCATCAATCCTTAATTTTTAAGTGACCCCTATGAAAACAAAGTTCCTGTTATTTGTTACTATAGTGGTCACTTAAAAATTAGGGATTGATGGTGAAAACGGGCATTAATATCTTAAACTTTGTTGTTATGTAATACACTTTCTGGTTTGAAACTTTGTTTTAAGTTTAAGATAACCTTGCTAATATCGTTGAAAGTAAAATAAACCAACAACACATTAAGCATACAAATACATAACATTGCTTGCTTTACTCGAACTTTTATCTAAATATATAACTCAAAGGTGACTGACTGACTAACTGACATAGTGATCTATCAACGCACAGCCCAAACCACTGGACAGATCGGGTTGAAATTTGGCATGCAGGTAGATGTTATGACGTAGGCATGCAGGGGGTAAAACGGGATCCACGCGTACGAAGCCACGTGAGGCTGCTAGTTATACATACACACAAATAAATACATTCCAATGCAATGCTTGGCTTTACTCGAACTTTCATTAAATATAGACAGAATCCTAGCATTTACTTTCAGCTACAATATCCTACGGATCCGCTTGAATTATGGATGGCCAAATAAATACATCACCAATCCCACTTTAGCCGTGTACAACAGGGATGTTATGGATGTCCGTAATCGTAACCGAAACTTTCGGATATCCGAAATAAAAAATATATCCGGAACTGTAACCGTAACCGATATAAAGGCTTCGGATAGTTTCGGATGTAGGCAGTTTATAATTGGTTTTTTGTATAACATTATTATATAATTATGTTAAAGCATAACAGCTTGATTTACCTTTATAATGCCATCTAGTATCAATTTTTATTTTTTTATTGCTTTTTTATTTTTATTCGATGTAAAGTGTGCGGCCATGAATGAATCGTGTTGGACAACTATTGCAAATTGCATTCTAAAGCACAGATATCCTTAACCGTAACCGAAACAGGTATAATGGTATTCCTATATCCGTAACCGTATCCATAACCGAAAATACTTTTATCCATAACATCCCTAGTGTGCAACATCACATCTATACATACAGTATTATAAAGCTGAAGAGTTTATTTGTACGCGCTAATCTCAGGAACTAATTGTCCGATTTGAAAAAAACTTTTTTTGTTGGATTGCCCATTTATCGAGGAAGGCTTTATTTAAGCTGTATAACATCACCCTACAGCCAATAGGCACGGTAATACTATCTATACAGTATTCCAACTCAGCCATATTTTTAAAATAAATGTCAACAGCCCCGCGGTACGTCACGGTATGACAACATGCGATAGGGCTGCTCACCTATAGTACCCATTCAAATTACATCTGTCTACTTAGAATTTCTATCTAGTTTTGTGATTGTAATTTTTTTTTATTAGACAAACAAAATACTTTGTGAATGGAATAGGATAAAAATGCGTGTTGTTTTGTGATTAGTAGATTTAATTTAAAAAAATATGCTAAAATAATTTTGAATCTACTAATTATAATGAGTACTTAATGACCTGTTACTTTAATTTCAGGCTGGCGAAGTCGTGGGCCAAAGCTGGTTTTATACAATATAATTTTCATTTCAAACCAAACTGACTGAAAATGTCAATTTCTGACAGTTAATGACTAGTTTTTGACAAATTTGATCGTTTAAGACGGTCAGTCAAATTCAATCACCTTAGTCATTTTCAACACTAGGCCATCGATGTCCGTTCGGCACATTCGCGACACCCCTAACTTTTGGATCTCAACCACGTCCCGTGATTTGAAATTCGAAGGAAAACTCGCGTTTCGTCGGTTTATATGAAGTCACAATACTGTATGATATTATTACCGTGCAATAGGGGTGGAACAGTAAAGTGTTGCAAAAACGGGAAATATTTACTATTAACATAAAGTTTTTGGTTTCCTTGTGTGACTGGCTAACTATTAGTATTTAGTATTAACGAAAGTTTGTTAACGAATGACGAATTTCTGACAATTTTTTTACATAGAACCGTTATTCTTGTCCAATCGCTGAATAACTTTCTTAAAACCTTATTTTCAAGTTTGGTAGTATCTGTCAAACAATGTCTATGTTATTAATATTAAGCCTGTTAATAAAAGCAAATAATAGCATTCTCTTGGCTTAACAATAGCAAATAGATTTAGGCAGGACTCTCAAAAATTTACAAAACAATACGTTCACTTTCATTTCAATGAATCCAATAGTTTTCAATCAAAATGGATTGAGTGAATTTCTCTGATATAAAAATACTTTTTCTAATCTCTACAAATTAATGGTTTCAAATTTTTTGGCAAAACATCTTTACTAATAGTTATTATAAATGCGAAAGTAACTCTGTCTGTCTGTCTTGTTTCACGCCTAAACCACTGAAATGATTTTGATGAAAGGCATAGAGATAGTTTGAGTCCCGAGAAAGGACATGGGATGGTTTTTATCCTGGTATTTGAAACAGGGACGCGCGCGATAAAGTTTTTCTGTGACAAACAAAATTACACGTGGGCGAAGCAGCGGGCGGAAAGCTAGTAAAATAAAACAAAATGTTCACTCTCATATCAATGAATCGAATGGTTTTCACTGAAAACATATCGCGTTAACTCACTGATACAAGTTCCAACGATAATGCACTCAAAAATAATAATATTAGGCACACAGTCCTCCAATAATTGGCCCCTCGATCACTAATTGGGCTCATAGGTTCGTCTGCAGTCACTCATTAAGCAGTTTTCAATCAACAAACAATTGCAGTGGCTGCCCGGAGTAG